CCAGCCCTGGGGCTGCCCTGAGCGTGCTGGAGAGAGCTGCTCAGGGCATGAGACAGTTTCAGCAGACCCATGCATCTTTTGGCCCTTGGAATGAATGTGTTACCCCAAGGGCAGATACTGTCTTGGGTAGATTTGTTGGAAAACTATGAAGAAAACAAACCACAAAAAATACTTTCTGGCTCCTCCAGCAACTCTGACTAGTCTTGAGTGGGCTTTTTTTATTCCTTCACTTGGAAGCAAATTAAAGTCATGTGTTTACTTCTGCAACACTGAGAAACACAAAGAGAAAGACTCCCCAAAGCATTGCCCTGCTTCCCATTCCAGATAGTTCCAACAACCACATGCGAAGGAAAATGTTCTAGAAGACATTGCACTTTGCAATAGATTTGCCTTGTAATGATACTCCAAACTCCATTTCTATTTTAATTTCTAAATTCACTTGAGATATGATCTCCTTACCCCTCACCCCACCTGAAGTTGTTTAAGACCTGGATGATACCACTACCCGGAGACAGCCTCTCCTATTACTACAGAGAGCACAATTCTGATGTAGGCCCACTGGGACCACCCGATCCCGGGTGGGGAAACCCGTGGTGTTCTTTGCCACTGGCCCTCTTCTGGCTCCTACTGGGGACGGCATTCGGGCATAGGTGGGGCCCTTTCAGGGACTTCTCAAGGCTGGTTTCAGTTACTGACTGAGTCCAGTATTTCCACTTCGCCCAAGAGGGCCATCCCCAGCGAACTTTCTCCTGCTGAGAGCAGTGGCTCTCACAGCTGCAATGTGTTACTGTTATAAAAGAACTCCTCCTTTCCAAGTGAGGGAGGAATAGAACAAAGGGATGAAAGGGCCCGAGAAATACATGTGTATGAGTTTCCTGTAGCTGCCATAACAAAGTGCTCCAAACTTGGTAGCTTAAAACAACATGCGTTTTATTATTTCACAGCTCTGGAAGCCAGCAGTCCAAAGTCAAGGTGCTGGCAGGGTTAGTTTCTCCTGGAGGCGCTGAGGGAGAATCTGCTCCACAGGTCTCTCCTAGCATCTGCTAGCTGCTGGCAAGCCTTGGCACTCTTCGGTTTACACACGCATCACCCCCGTCTCTGTCTCCAGGTCGCCTGCCTTCCCCTCTTGCCTCACAATCGTAGGTTCAATATCTCTGCCCAGGGCCTTGGTGCCATGCGACCACCACAGTATGAAGGGAAATCCCAATAAGAAAGGCAGTGAACAACTCCACAGCTCTGTAAGAGCAGATGAAACAGACTGGAGTTGTGAATGGGAGTCGCGGTGGTGGTCTCTGTTCTGTGTGTGGCTCTCCCCTCCTTTGCGGGTCTGAGTTCTGAACCTGCGAAAGGAGAGGACCCATCAGCTATGTAATGGTACTGCCCTTCTCTGGCTCCACCAGCATAGGCTTTCTCCTCACTGGTTTTCACACAAGCTCATGGGCTCACAGAAGCCAGGCGCACCCCACCCTTCCAAGACCTTCAGACATCTAGTTCAGCCCTATTCCAGGGAGTCTAGAATTTATGCTTCCTCAGGTGGGCTGTCTGGAGCTAGCTTCCATCGTGACATGTTTGACTCTGCTAGAGAAATAAATGTGTGCTTAGAAACGCCACACCTTTGTGTTCTGAGCTTTTCCACAATTGTCTTGGTATTCTAAATTTTGGAATACGTGGCTTTTTATTTTCCAGTTTTGTATTCCAGTCTCCAGCCCCCTGAGCTTTCCGCTGGCAAAGCAGCTCCCGTCTCAGACAGTGTGTCCTACTCTCAGTGACCTACAGAGATGCCGTGGGCAAGGCATCAGGTCGAGGAGCCCTCACAGCGCTGTTCCTTTGCTCCTGGTGTCAGGTGGCCTTGTGCTAGGAATTACCGGGCAGCCCTGCTCCGGGAGAGCTGTGTGACCTCTCAGTTTAGTGGATAACTGAATCTTTTCATCCCATCTTTACACACGAGGAAGAGGATTGGCATGGAAACAGAACTGTATGCCACAGAGAGGCAGTACGGTTTCTCTTTTGCGTTCCTCTCAGAGGCCAGCTCTGTGAGCCTAGGGCCCTTGCACCCGGGTGCGGCACCTGGCAGCACTGCTTTCCACGTTCTGATGGTGAATGAAAATGAGTAAGCCAGATTCTTAGAGGGGTTCAGGTCTCTTGTAATGTCCTAGTTTCCAGTTCATTTTCGGTGGCCAGAAATGTGAGCAGGCTAACACTCCAGTTTTGTGTTAAATAACTGATGGGCTAAAAATAATGAAACGTAACATGGAAATTCAGTTCTGCCTTCCTGCACGCCTTCCGTCAGACACAGTAAGAATAACCCTCTGACTTGCTTGTTTTGGAAATTTAAGTATTTCGGATTCGCTTTTCTTAAACTTCTGCCTTTGTCTGCCCAGGCTCCTCAGGGGACGTAGGCAGGCAGGCAGGCAGGCAGGCAGGCACGAATGCAGGCAGGCACGAATGCACGCACGCACGCACGCATGCACGCCTGGTCTCGCAGCCCTGGTTCAGGCCTGTGCACACAGGGGCTGTCTCAGCGGGCCCCTGGGGTTGCTCTTCGCCCCTGCAGCGCCCGCGGCCTTGCGGGTCCCCAGGAGGCGCTGGCAGGCAGCAGAGGAAGAAACCGGGCACACCCAGGACATTCCGCAGAAGCTCCCCACCTGCGTTCTACAAATTCTGCCTGTAAGTTCTTGGGTTTCTCCATTTAAAATAAGCAGAAGGCTCCGGCCTGGTCCCCACGCAGCCCCCTCCTGAGAACAGTTCCTCCGACCTTCTCTGCCTGGCCCCGCTCCCACCTGGCCTTTGTCTGCCGAATCCAAAGGCCTTGTTATTGATATTGAGTCAGGTTTAATATTTATTCAGCCACGGCTCTTGGTGTTCAGGACGTAGTTCTATTTTCTCAGAGCTGACCTCGGATCACGAACTCAACCTCCAGAGTCGGCTGGGCTGCAGACGTGGTCATCCAAATTCAAGATCAACCCAGCCGATTCTGGTCTAAGACTTGCTGTCTCTCAGGGGTAGCTAGCCAGGAGTCCCCCTTCCTTACTGCAGGCCTCTCTGTCCGCCTGCTGCGGATGTGGGGGCACAGTGGTGCCTCTAGCTGTTTGGGGGGAGCAGACCCAGCCCACCTTGGCGTGCTGTAAACATCGCCAGCGGCTCTTCTCACTTGGTCCTTGTCCGTTTCCCGCATTCGCTCCCCTTGCCGGAGCCCTTGCTGTGTAGACCCAGCTCCTTCCAGTCTTTGGCTTGTCCAGGGCTTCTTGGGTGTTCCATGTAGTGGCTACAGAAGATTTCCAGATCTTTCCTTCACCTCCCTGAGGAGTGTGGGGCCGGCAGCCAGCCTCGTCCAAGGCTGCTCTGCTCCTCAGAACCACCAGATGCAGACATTCAGCCGGAGCTGTGGATCTCCCTGGCACATCTGAGAGGACAGACAGCTGTATCCTCTGCCGTGAAGTCCCTGGTGAGGTGCAGACTTGTTTGGGCGTGACCGTGATAGAAACATCTTACATCATGGCTGAATCCTGCAGTCAGCACAGACTAGCATCCTGAAACAACGTTTACAGCACCTTACACTGTGCCCCAGGATTTTCTATTCCATTGCATTTTCTTCTGATGCATTTTATCAAATTAAATCCATTTTGTGATTCAAGAATAGTTTTCAGCCCACAGTTTGAAAAACGTTGGCTTAATAGTGGCTTTTCTTGGTTCGGAATGTGGATACTGGGCACTGTATCAAAAATGAGCAAATCGTTACACACTTGTTTTGTTCTTTCTCAAAATGCTTAGCTTTGAGAATAAAAGAAAGTCTTGCCTTTCAAGCTGTTGTCTCTACTATGGGTTTAAAATAAATCCATTCAGACATTCAACAGATTTTTATGCTCAGTTTATCTACTCTGAGAACAATGTGTGTGGACTATGATAGAATGATACAAAGTAATGGGCTTAAAGCAGCTCAGAGTCCAGCCTTAGTCAGTGTGTCTAGGCATCCCACAGTGTTGGTGACAGTGGGGAGAGTCAAGGCTGAGTGTGCGCTGTGGGTCTGGCGCTGCACTCGGCACTTCAGCTGCTACTCCAGCTAACCCTTGCCGCATCCCTGTGGTGTGGTACAGATAGCATCTCCATGTGGCTAGAGGGAACTCAGACTGACAGGAACCTGGCGCCGTCCCCTCGACCTGCCCTCCACACCAGCTCAGGTTGTTTGCTTCCTTTTCTGCCCCCACCCCCCGTTTGGAAGACTAAGACTTTATTCCAGTTTGTGTGGGATCAGATTTATCCAACATTTTGTCCATGCTCCAAACATTCACATAGCCTTTGACATGACTTTTCTGTTCATCGATGATGGAGAACACACACACATGCACACACAGGCACACACATGCACAGTCGTCAGTGGTGATGGAGTACTAGAAAACCCCAGTGAAAACTCCATTTCTCATTCTCAAACTTGTTGATTAGGAACCTTCACCCTGACTCCTTGAATGCGGGGCCTGGGGACAGCACGGGCCACACATCCCTGAAAACAGCTCCGGCACAGGCCTTTTCAGATCAACCCCAGCTCCTCCTCCTCTAGAGGAGGCTGCTCTGACTGAATTCTCAGCTCTCCCCAGCAGGGATATGGGATCCTTTCTAGCTCTGCAAATCCTCTCCTAATTCGCCCCCTCGTTTCAAAGTCTTTTTAATTTTTAATTAATTAATTTATTTTTGAAAGTCTTTTCTAAAGAACTTCCTCCTGGGAGCCTGGTGCTGTCCTTACCCTTGATTCGTTTCCCACTGATGGGCGCCTGTGGAAATGCTTGCTCTGTCTCCCACCTTCTCTCCCTTCCCAGCTTTCCCAGGATCCCTATCCAAGGAGGCTGCAGAGGGCGCCTGCAGCTCAGCAGCGACTGATAAGGAGCAGCTGCTCCCGAGTCACTGTGTCCCCAACCCCCAGGCTCCCTCCCAGAATGGCACCAGCCAGCACCTGGGCGTGCCTGGCCAACCTCCCCCGAGGCCTTTGCCCTGTGTCCAGAGTCTGTGCCCTCCCCTCGCAGGGCACTGGGGACTCCTGCAGCCCACACAGCACTGTCTCTTTGTTTTCCAGGTGCTGAGGGCCTGAATCCCCAACTGCTGGCTGCTCCTGAGATCACAGGGAAAGCAGGCTCGGCTCCCAAGTGGGAGCTTGGGAAATGCAACTCACACCAGATGCTGGGGCCTGTGTGCTGTGTGCTGCCTAAGAGGAGCAGGTGGGCAGTGTGCTGGGGCTGGGGACTAAAAGCAGGAGAGGTGATTCTGGGGAGCAGGTGCAGGGCAGTGGGGGGAAGGGGAAGAAGAGGGTCAAACGTGGCTCATGGCTTGGAGCTGACTGTCAGCTCCTCCCACGTTCAGGAACCTGTGCCGGCAGCCCGGTACCGGAAGCCATGGGCAGCAGGGAAGATGAGTCCAGGAGCTGTGTGGTGTGTGGGGACCGAGCCACAGGCTACAATTTCCATGCCCTGACTTGTGAGGGCTGCAAGGGTTTCTTCAGGTGAGAGTCTCCTCCCCAGCAGATATACCCTACCTGGCACACACATGCGTGCACACACACACACACACACACACACACACGTGCCTAGTGGGCAGCCTTTGGCCCCTGGCATGTGCCTGGGGGAGTCCTGGGCCTTGTGTGTCTGAGGGTGGCTACCCTGTGGCTGGCATCCTGCACCCTGCATCTGGTGACCACAACGCTGTCCAAACTGGTGGCGTAATAAAAGAGAGGCCAGGTACTTGTCCCACGAGTCAAGGACACTCACGCACTGGCAAAGCACCAAGCTAGCACAGCACAAGCTGGGCCTGCCTGAGTGGAGCCTGTGTTCCCGTGAAAATGCTCCAGGTCTGTCAGGCTGTCCTCCTGGGGACCCTCAGCCACAGCCCAGATCAGCCCTTGTCAGCGGGTTCCAAGTCTTTTAGACCATGTGCTGTCAGCCCTCAGATTCCCACCTGCCTGCTCCCTGCCATCCTGGGCCCTGACAATGTCTCTGTCCTTCACAGGCGCGTGGCGAACAAAAGCACCAGGCGCACCTGCCCCTTTGCTGGAAGCTGTGAAGTCAGCAAGGCCCAGAGGCGCCGCTGCCAGGCCTGCAGGTTGCAGAAGTGTCTGGATGCCGGCATGAGGAAAGACAGTGAGTCAGCCTCCCACCGCTGAGTCCCCCGACCCAGGCTCTGCTTTGTCTGTCCCCAGGAGCACATTTGCCAAATCGCAGGCAGAGCAGGCTCCTTGAAAGGAGTTGGGTCACGTTGCTCTTCTGCTCTAACCTCCGGTGGCTCCCGTCAGTCACTCTCCAGGCACGTGGCCTCATGGTCCAGCTTCTGTACCACACCTTTCAGACTTTGTTTCCTCTTTCCCCTTGTGTGGTCCATTCCAGCCACACTGATTTCGGGCCATCCCCGCTGCTCGTCCCCAGGGCTTTGATGCCTGCCCTTCCTTCCGCCTGAAGGGCCTTTCCCCGTCTGTGGTGGCCACCCTTTCAGAGCCTGCAGTGGTAACAGCCAGCCCTCTGCGGCACTGTGCCACTGGGCTGCCACCACTGCTCTAGACACTCTCAGGGCTTGCTTGTCCCCTCTGTCCCTGGAGGACAGTGCGCTCCACCCAGCAGGCACTCAGTAACCCACACTGCCTCTGGGCCAGAGAGCTTCAATCCAACAGGTGGTGGAAGTGGGGCTCCCAGGGTGCCTGGCGCCCAGGCCCATTGGGCTGAAAAGTGGTAGAGTCACCACTGGAAGTGGAGTCTGCCTGGCCTCAGACTCTGTTTCCATGGCACCACTTTCCAGTGTGGAGCAGAGGAGACGAAACTGTAGAGGCCAGATGTCTTGGTTTGAATTCAATCTGCATCTTTTTTTTGGGAATGCTAGTGTTTGAACCCGGGGTCTTCACACCAGGCCACATCGCCGAGCCCTTTCATGGTTCATTTTGAGACAGGGTCTCACTATGTCATTGCTTTGTCCAGGCTGGACTCAAACTTGTATCCCGCCTGCCTCAGCCCTCTGGAGCTCTGGGATTACAGATGTGTGCACCACTCCCAGGCACCCCTTATTTTTGACTTTGGACTTGTCGCTAGAATCTAAGCTTGTTTATGTTTCTGAAAAATATGAATAACGCTTGCTCTATCATAGTGTGGTCGCATCCAGTGGAATCTAACCCCAGAACCTTTGACATTGTAATGCCCTGTGGTATGGTCTGCATCCGAAATGCCCCTCGAAGGCTCCTGTGTTCAGAGGTGGGGCTTTAGGAGGCGATTGTAACATGAGGGCTTTAACTTCATCAGTGATGGATCCGTTGATGGATTCGGACTTTGATGGCGTGATGGGCGATGACGGAGACTCACCCTAGGACATGTGCCTCGTTGAAGGGTCACGGGGGTGGGACCTCAGAGACTCTGTCGTGTCCTCTGCCCTTTCCTCGCTGGGTCCTTTTCTCTCGTTGTGCCCTGAGGTGAGAAGCGCTCCTCTACCACCCCCTTCTGCTCCACCTCAGGCACAGAAACAGTGGAACCAGAGGAAACTTCCCAAACCCCGAGCTGACGTAAATCTTTCCTCCTGCAAGTTATTTTTCTCAGGCTTCCTTGTCGCAGCGTTGGAAAGCTGACTGGCCCAGTGTGCAGACAGAAGGTGCGCTAGGTAGTTAGAGCCGCTCCACAGTTCTCCCAGGAGCCGAACGTCTCCTTCCTTCTGTCTTTCCCTCTTCACCCTGCAGCATTTCCTCTCCCAGGGCACTGTTTCCTGCTTCTGAGATGCCGCTGAGGTGAAGGAAAGGAATCCCTGCCACCGGAGCCCCCAGGATCCAGCCAAGTTCCAGGAGGCCTCGGGAACTTGCCCCCTGCGACCTTCTGTGACCAGGGCCGCTGACTGGGGGCGGGTACAGAGGTGTTCTCTGCTGGTTTCAGTGCCTTTGCCCTGTCTCTTGCCTGGCACAGTGATACTGTCGGCCGAAGCCCTGGCATTGCGGCGAGCCAGGCAGGCGTGGCGGCGGGCGCAGCAAGTACCAATGAAGGAGCAGAAGGTGCTGATCAGCATCCTCCTGGAGGCCCACACCTGCCACGTGGCCACCATGTTCGACCAGTTTGTGCAGTTCAAGGTGAGACAAGGTCTGGGGTGAGAAAGTGATCAAAGGGCGCCCAGGAGGCGGCTCGAGGAAAAGGGCCAGGTGTGTTGCTGAGCAGCAGCAGACAGGCCTTCTCCAGAGTCCAGCCCGGCTGCTCCTCTGGGAAGAAGCTTCGGAGGTGAAGCTGGCAGGGCCTCAGGCAGGCGCGTGGCCAGGGCCTCTTGCTTATTCTCTGGTCTCTGCAGCCTCCAGCACACCTCTTCAGCCACCAGCGGCCTCTTTCCGCCCGGGACCCTGTGCTGCCTCTGCTCACGCACTTTGCAGCTGTTGATACCTTCATGTTGCAGCAAATTATCAAGTTCGCCAAGGCTCTGCCCCTTTTCCGGTGAGTGGCCTCCCCTTATCTTTCAGGAAGTCAGCACCTCATAAATTCTATACCACCCCACCCCGAAAAGGCCACTAATCAAATGAACACAGCCCGCAACCTTTCCAAGCACCAGGTCTCCAATTCCCAGCTTTCTTTTAAGTGTGTCCGTCAGGACCAGGAGTTCAGACTTGAGTCTCAAGTGCCCATTTCCTGCTCCCCACAGGTCCCTGCCCATGGAGGACCAGATCTCCCTTCTCAAGGGAGCAGCATTGGAAATATATGCCATTGCACTCAATACCACTTTCTGTCTTGAGACACAACACTTCTTGTGCGGGCCTCTTCGCTACAGGGTGGAAGACGCAATCCATGGTAAGATGGCGCCAGAGCCAGAAGCCTGTGCCCTTGTGGAATGAGGCTCCACAGCCTATGCCTCCCTTAGCAGGGTTCCAGGAAGAGTTTGCGGAGCTGTTGTTTCGTTTCCAGAGGACACTGAAACAACTGCGGCTCCAGGAGCCCGAGTATGTGCTCATGGCTGCCATGGCCCTCTTCTCTCCTGGTGAGCAGCCCATCCAGAGACCTTAGCCCCAACACCTCTGCTCAAACCCTCAGCCCCTGGAATTCGTCCACTTCAGTCTAACCTGCAGGCCTTCCCCACCTGCGCCTCCCTGCTCCCTGTTATACAGATCGGCCTGGAGTTACCCAGAGGGAAGAGATTGAGCAGCTGCAAGAGAAGATGGCACTGACTCTGTACAGCTACATCAGGGAGCAGCAGTCGAGGCCCGGGAGCCGGTGGGTGGGGTGGAAGTGTTCGGGACGCAAGCTCAGGATGAGTGCTTTTTATTGTCTTTTCCTCCGGGAGACCAGGTCTCTGGGGGAGGCTGCTCCTTGCCCGGGACCATCCCTGTCCCACAGACTTCCAGCATCCAAGCTGTTCATTTTGCTGTTTGTCTTAATTACTTTTCTCTCGTCGCTAAGACAAAATACTGGACAGTCCAAGTTCAAAGAGGAAAGGTTTATGTAGCCCACAGTTTGCGTAGGTTTCTGTCCACAACGGCCTGGCTCCAAGACGGGGCTCCAGGGCAGCACAGGGCGGAGAGGCAACAGCGCATGCCAGCTGACAGGAAGTAGCAAGGCCACAAGGAAACTTAGCAGCATCTTCCTGTCCCTTCTGTCTTATCCAGGCAGCTCTCACACCCTCGGGCCTGGCATTGGAGCACGAATCAGTCACATACTCTTGACCCAGCCACCTCAGAAAAAGCCCCACCTCACTCGCACGAGGCTTTGGGGGGACGTTCAGACCGCCCTAAGGCCGTGTCATCTCGCTTTCCCTCAACTTTTCGGTTCAGTGCGGTGCAGAGCAGTGGCTCACAGGCCCCGTGGAATAGCGTTCTTGAGACTGATGACACCCATCATCTCCCCTCTCCCACGGCTCCAGCCTGATGCACATTGGGAAGAGTCTTGTTCATTCTTCTTCCTTGGCCCTCCCCTTTCTCCGCTGGACCAATTCCTTGACATTTTCGTGTCCCTTGAAGGGATGTGAATTTTCATGTCATGCGGAGTTTCACAGCCAGATGCAGTCCCTCATTCCATGATCTTTCCAGGCTCTGAGGTGTGCACTGCCTGTTTTTGTTCATGCCTCAACAAGGCAGTTTGCCAGAAAGGGGAGATTTTGTACCTAGAACAACACGTCCGCCTTCTGGAACACACTGTAGAATGCCAGACTGTCGGATCCTGTGCAGGTGGAGTTCTGGCCAACCTGGGGCTTTCTTCACACCTGGGCCTCAGAGCCCCGGGCTCAGTTGAAGCTAGCCACATAAGAGAAAACGAGTCAGACACAGCCCCGTGTGGGGCTCTCTGGATCTTTGGATAAATCTGTCCTAGCAGAGCCTAGTTTTCTCTGGTGAGCAGACTTAGCTCCATCAGGGAGCATTCAGAGGGTCAGGGCTTCAGGACAGGGCTCGCAGCTGCTTCATGTCCCTCTTCTGTTCCTGGTGACCTCTCTGCTTCCTCCAAAGGTTTCTTTACGCAAAGGTGCTGGGCCTGTTGACTGAGCTCCGGAGCATCAAGAGCAATTACTGGTACCAAGTGCAGCGCATCCAGGGACTGTGTGAAATGATGCCGCTGCTCCAGGAGATTTGCAGCTGAGGGGCCACTGTCTCCTCTCCCCACCGGGCTGCAGAGGGGAGGTGGTGGAGTAAGGGGCTCAGTGGTTTCAATGAAAGACTAAAGCAACAGTGCCCTTCATGCGGTCATTGGGGAAGTTGGGGTGACCGTGGGGACATAGTTTGGGTGGAGGAAGCCTCAGGGAGAAGAGGCAAAGCCCCTCCTGGTGATGGGTGGGCCCCATTTTCTGAGGTGAAAGACTTTGCCCTTCACCCTGTTTCTCAGCTTGAGAGGCTCTTAGGTGGGAAAATGGGTTGGGGAGCGAATCCCAGGCAGACTTTTCTGCTCTGAAGAAGGGTGCAGGAGCTTTAATCCCAGGGAAATTGGGCCGGACACACCCCTCAGCCTCTCCCCGAGTCCCCCCAGCCCACGGAGAGGATGAAAGCGGGGTTGGGGGCAAAGAGAACCCGCAGACCCTGGCCGCATCGGGTGATGCTTTGGCAGCTCCTGTTCTGAAGAGCCCATCTCCCGCCCCTACTCTGTTCTTGGGAGTGTGGGTCCCCCCGGAAAGTGGGCTCGGGCCCTGCTTCGGGGCTGGCCCTGGGACCAGCACAGCCTCCTGCGGTGCTGGGGCCACAGAGGAATCTAGTGCACCAGTGACTGAAGAAGCCTGCAAGGGCCATGGCGAAGGGCGGCCAGCTGCTCCCCCCGCATGGCGCCCGCACGCTGGAGACTCTCCACCAGCCCCTCCACACCGCCTGGGCCTGTGGTAACCAAGGACAGGGCTGTGTCCTATGGCTTTGTGCTTAAATCCACGCCAACCGGAACCCTGCAGGCCAGGATTTCCTGCGGTCTCGGTGTCTGTGTAGTCATGGCTCCCACACTCTCCTTGGAAATGCCCAGTCAGGAACTTGGCCTGCTCCATGTGGAAGACGGCCTGGGCCAGTGGCGCTCCATCCACAGAACCAGCCCCTGGGCAGTGGGCCTGCCTCTGCTGTCCACACCCCCTGCAGTGGACAGCTCTGCAGACTAAGCGGCAGGTCCTCACAGGGCTGCATGGAGGTGATGGAGCTGAGGCACCAGGTGCACAGCGTGAGCCACCTGGAAAGTGCCCCTTGGTGCCAGGCTTACTGCGGCCCCATACTGGCCCAGAGAATGGGGGTCACCATCCCAGACCTGCCACTTCCCTCTCCCTCCAGCCCACGCTGCTTATCTTGATAGGGGCAGCCTGTGAGTCCAGTGTCTTTCTTCCACCTTGTTCTACCTCCATGCAATAAGGGATGGATAAAGCCAGATTGTTCCTCAGCTCTGAAAGAGCTCAACAGCTTTTCAAGGGCGCAGCTGCTCGCACCTGTTGGAAGGCGGGGGTCCCGTTACACACAGGCACTTGGACCTGCGCCCACCCTTCCTCCTGCTCTCCGCCTTTCCAGCCCCGCTCCTGTGGCAGAGATCTCAAGGTCATCCGCCATCCACTGTCTCCCAGAGGGGACAGCAAGTCCTTCCTGGTTCTGAGCAGCCTGCAGGCCCTCGCAGGAAACAGCTAGTAACATTCTTCACCTTTTCTAAAAAGCCTGCGAAAGGAAGAGAGGCTTTGATAATGCAAACAAGATAATTACATACAATGGATTTTCCTCTCTGATCTGCTTAGTTCCTTAATTTATTCAGCAAATATGTATTTAGTATGTGCTGGGCACTGTTTCGGGTGCCACTGCAGATTTGCTGGTAAATCAGACAGAGCAAATTCTTGCTCTCTGGGGTTCACGTTCTGTAGGGACTGGTTTCGGAGGAGGGTAGACTTGAACTGGTGGTTTTCAGTCATCTTTTAGGTCACAGCTCCCAATCAAAACGGGAGCAATTTGTGAGATTCCTTCTCCCCACACACAACAGAATCAGAAGTTTTCTAGGACGATACTTGCTCCATTTACATATAAAGAGCTAAAAAAATTGCCTTATTAAGACTGAAATGAATTTTTTAAAATCCCAAATAAGCAAAAAAAAAGCAAAAAGATTCAGGCAAGATTTTAGTGACTGCACAGGGAAGGTTTTTGCTGGCAAGGTGCTTGCAGTTCAGACCCGCAAGGTCAGTACTGCCTGCGCGCACTCGTGGGCCTGCAGTCTCCTTTGCTTTAGTCAGTTTCAAAGGCTAAAATCGTCATGTGTACAGAGAGCTACTTGTGGCCAGTAATGATAAGGTTATGGTTTGGAATTGAAAGGTTCCCCAAAGGTCACGTGTTGAAGGCTTGGTCACCAGCCTGCACTGCTGATGGCAGGTGATAGAACCTTTCAGAGGCAGGCCCAAGAGGAAGGAGTTTCAGTCCCTGGGGCCTCGAGGTGGATACTGGGACGAAGCCCCTTCTCTTTCTCTTTCCGCGTCCCGACCACCATGAAGAGCGCAGCTCAGCTGTGTAACATGCTCCCTGTGGGATGTTCCTCAGCACAGGCCCAAGACCACAGGGCTGAGTGACCGTGGACTGAAGCCTCTGGACCAATGAGCCAAAATAACCTCTCCTTCTTTCAAATTGTTTTCTCAGGTATTTTGTCACCACACCAGAGAGCTGACTAACACAATAAGGATGCCTTCTTTCTGCCTAGCGATGAAAATTCTTTAATTTTACTTGGAAATGATAATAAATTTCTTATCTTGTGATCATTCATTAGTACAAATACACTGCAACCATTCATTCACATCTTTTTTGTTTTTGGTACCGGGGATGGAACCAAGGACCTTGTGCTTTTGCGAGGCAGGCGGCGGAACCACTGAGTTACATCCCTGGCCCTCATTCACCTCTTTTGGGCACCAAATTTAGGTCGGTTTTTAATTCCAAGTTTTCAAAGGGAAAGTGTTCCTTGACTTGGAACGTTTTCTGAAGTATTTATAATTTCTTTTCTAGAACATAGTGACAACTTTGAGACTGAGAAGTGAACTATAGCAGCATTCCTAATTATATTTCAGTCACACCATCTTTGCTGGTTATGTCCACTTCAAGGCCTACTTCCCATAGCAAAATGTGTTTGAATCCTGGATGTGTCTTGACTTGTTGAATTATATCGTTGTTTTCTTCCTGAAGCTATTCATTTGTGTTCATTCCAAATATCAATAAGCTCGGTAAAGTACACTAATGTAAAATCCCCCACATCATTTTTGAAAATGAGGTTGCTTGCCAATGGGATTGCTGTTCAGCTAGAAGAATGTGATTGTCCTTCCCAAGTGTGCCCACTCGCCTAGCACTTTCCCTTCTGCTCCCTCAGGACAATGAGCCTCACTGTACTCCGGCAGGAAGGGATGGTTAGCTCCAATTTGAACAAAATTTGCCCAGGTTTTGGCTCTTTAATGAACTCTAATAAATTTAGCAACCTTCACCACGAGCACTTCCATGAGAAATAGCAGCATTATTTATAGAGGTGGCACACAGAATTCCCCCTGATGCTGCTTCTAAACACAACAGTGATTTGTAGCTTTTAATACTATTTTAATAGTTTTGTCACATTTTCTTCATATCTGCCTGCCCTATCACTCATGAGTCCATTAATATTTTTCCCGTTTTAATAGATGTTGACCAACAACGTATTTTCTAGTTTTGTAACTATATCTAATCATCGTTTGAGAGGTAAATTTAAATGTCACTTCTCATATTCACACACATCCTGTCATTTTGCACACACTACAGGATTTGAACAATTTACAGTATTTGTGCTCTTTAGGGACGGATCTCAAGTACTATACTGGATTTCATGGGAAGAATAACTCTGTTTAGGTCTGTAGCAGTGCAGACTTGACTAGAAATGCTATTATCCCAAAGATTGGTAAAATTTAATTTATCTGTTGATTTAGCATTAAAAACCACTTGTGCATTTCTATTTATGTTAGAAGAGTAATTTTTCAACAATTGGGAAAGCCATCTTTTCTTTGTCTGAACCATATGCAAGTAAATCTCATGTGTAGTCTATAGAACAACCAAGAAATTTGCCAATAACTTTTTGTCTTGCTTTTATTTAAAATATTTGAAGGACTTGTTGACAAGTACAGCATGTTTCCAAGTGTCCTGCTAGTTTTGAAGTTATCATCACAAATAATATATTGTGTCACTTTTGTTGGGTTTTACACACTGAAAATATATTTTAAATAATCTGCCTTAGGTCATGCATTCCGTTTTTATTTTAAAAATGCACCTCAAATGAAATTCAAACTCACCAACCAGAATCAATGGTTTTCTAAACATTGCCACTACTTATACTTCTGGATATCTGTGATTGAACTTGGGCATGTCTGTAATTTTCACTTCATCATTCTTCTTTCTTCTAATAATAATGAGAAATTCTGTTACATAAGAATCTGTGCTAATTTAATAATGTATACATTTATGCAAGCTTGAAGCCATATTTTACTTGCTAACGACCTTTGAGAGAAATGCTTTACAACAAACACCGAATGACACTAGTATAAAATATAAACTGTTGACTTATAATGGTGACGGCCATATCACAACATAGATGGGAAAATCAAATGAGGCGTTTGGTTTTAGAAGACAGAATGACTTATACTAGTCAACTGGTGTTTGTCATGTGCTTCATTAGTTCTCCTAGTCCTGCTCATAGTGACTGGACACATTTCCAACGCTGTTCATTTTGTATGCCACTGGGGATTCAAAAATATGTACTTTCTGAATGGCTATCAAGAAATCAACCAATAACAAATGCTGGCGGGGCTGTGGGGAAAGAGGAACCCTGCTCCACTGCTGGTGGGAGTATAGACTGGTGCAACCACTGTGGAAATCAATATGGAGATACCTGAAAGAACTAGGACTGGAAGTCCCATTTGACCCACCTATTCCCCTGCTAGGTATCTTCCCCAAAGAATTAAAAGAACTGGGCTGGGGATTTAGCTCAGTGGTTCCGGCACCTGCCTTGCAAGCGCAATGTCCTGAGTTTGATCCCTGCTACCAAAAAAAATAAAAATTAATAATCATACCACAGTGATATATGTGCACCCAGGTTCATAGCAGCAGTTTGCAGTTTGTAATAGGTAAAGCTTGGAAACAGCCCAAATGCCCATCAACTGGAGACTGGATAAAGAAAATGTGGTTTTTAAATAAAATGAAGTACTACTCTGTAGGGAACAGGGGAAGGGGATGTTACCAGAACCTCTGCAGTGAGTCCTGGTCTCCTGTGAGCCACGGCAGCACAAGGTGAATTACAGGAAAGGTAGAAAAATGAGACAGAGAAGAAGCTGAACTTTGGGTCTGACCAGTGCTGCTCTGGGCGGCAAAGACGAAAACCCCCAGCTTACCGCACCTTTTATTCAGTACTCAGTCCATCGGGAGAAACAAATGTAACAAACGACTTGCAGAGAGTTCAGTACAGCCTGCTTAAATAAGATGTAACAATCCAAGATCAAGGAGGAACTGAGTAGATGTTTGTTCCTCCCAGGATGTTCTCAGCTCCCAGGATGTTTCTTGTCCTGGAGAATCACAGCATCACCGGATCATTAAGGTCTCAGTTGTGATCGGAGGCCAAAATGCAATTATGTCTCGGAATTCCATAGCTGGGCTGTAGGCAGGAGAACTAGGCTAACTAAATGATTTTACCCTAAAGTTATGTAGCATTGCTCCCGACACTACTCAGCCATAAAAATGAGAAATCAGAGACATTTATAGCTAAATGGATGCACATTGAGGCGATACTCCTAAGTGAAATAAATAGGACACACTTGTAAATACCCAATAGTTTCTCTGGTGTGAGAAACTGAAAGTGTAAATAAGGATTAAAAGGTATAATGGATAATGGGAAATAGGAAGAAAAGGGGCAAAGGGGAATGGGAAGTGGGAGGGGTAGGGGAAAGGAAAGAAGGGAATGGAATTAATAGGAGAAAATGGGAAAACGGAAACAAAGTCTTTGTAAATAGGGAGGGATGGAGAGGTTGAAGGGAGGGCTGGGGAATGGGGGAAAAAATAAGAACCAAGAGATTATGTAAAGGTGCAAATTTTCAGTGATGAATGTCATTATATTGTACACCTAAAATGTACCAATAAAAGGATATACAGTTAAAAAATGCAGATTTCCTTCCATAATTCTTAATAAAAGTCCAGTGATGTATTTTCTTTGATTAAAAATTCAATTCTAGTGATGACTGATTAATTTTATTTTATCAACTCCTAATGTATTGTGTCTTGTATGTAGTCTGAATAATGCCGATGCAATAATAACCATGTGAACAAATTCAGGAAGTCCGGAGGTGGTAAGTGGTGTGTGCACACACAGAAAGTAACACAGAGCATGAAGGGCAGACCGTGAGTGGCCAAGCAGGGCTCACTTGCCTAGGGTGGTCAGGGAAGGCTGCTTGGAGGGAGCCCTGGGCTGTGTTCTATGTAGTTTGGGCTACCGACGTGAGCCTGTACTTCAGCACTTACGGAAAGTGTGACCCATGTCAGTATAGTGTGCTAATTATTTGCTGGTTGTTTTATGTATATTTGGCGCATTCTCAGCGAGTCTGCGGTTGTCTGTTGTAGGAACCAGCCCACGAGCTCTAACCTGACCCGCGGTGACGAGGGTGAACGCAAAGGGACACAGAACTGGGTTAAAATCTGGCCGGGCGGCTCTCGTCTCCGTCTGACATAGACCTGCGCACCTCGGCTCCATTCACTCAGACACGGGGGCGAGCCACCAGGGATCCACGGGATTCGCCTGTCTCCCTCCCTCCCTCCCTCCGTGGTACTTGACGGGTAAACAACAGGATCTTCTCAGCTGTTCGCGCTTCTCCCTGCCGCGTGTCAGCTCGCGCACGGCCTCCTTCTTCTCAGGGCTCAATGAGGAGGCGCATTAGGCCTCGTCTTCCGCCTGGTCTCCGCCTGTGGCACGAGTCTCCCCCCTCAATGAAGAAACCTTGCCGTGCTCCATTTCGAGTGTCAGGTGGTGTAGGTGCTGGGCAATGCTAGTTCTGTGTGACTCTAGGAGCTGTCACCGGGATACCGGGACAGACACCCTCACGGGCAGAGCAGACTAGAGCTTGTGTTCGTGGGGAGTTGGGAGGTCCTCGTGTCCTTCAGAATAATCCTGGGTGTGAGGGGTGCAGCGACACACGCCTGTAATGCCAGCACTTTGGAGGCTGAGGCGGGAGGATCGCTTGAGTTTGGGGTCAGAATAATTCTGGGTGTGAAATACTGTAATTAGAAATTTACTCCTTTGCTTTAATGTTTTAACAACCATTTGTATCTCTGTCGAGTGAATTTAATGTCTATATTCAGTGGTCAGGCGACTCTGTCCCAAACACCAGCTCTCTAGGCTGAAGAGCTGCCAGATGCTCAGGTGTGGACAGGAAAACCTCACCAGGATGCTCACCCCACTCCCCACGAGGGCCGGAAAGAAGACACCGTTCAGGCACCCAGTCAGTGGCTTAAGATTAAAATAACGACATACAGAGGGACGGGCCATTCATTAGCTACACTTACATGCTAACTTTGACAATTTTGCTTTCAAAGAAACCTAGGCACAAATTAATTCCGTTTCTCGCCTAGGTTATCACCAGCTTTGCTGATTTGCTCTCTTCCTGGTTTGCTTTTTCCCTTCAGGGCGGGGAGGCTCTCCCCGGCTTTGCTCCTAACCCCAGAGCAGTGGTCTTCAGTGCCATGGCAGCCTGGTCCTCCCCGGCCCCAGGCTTGGCTGCTGTGCTCCACGTCATGGGGTCCTGGGCCCCCTTGCGGCTCCCGACAGGGCAGACCTTTGAAGCCAGGTACGCCTGCCAGTGTGTGTAGCACTGGGCGTGAGGGGAAGCTGTTGTGGTCCTGGACCCCGGGAGGCTGAGGCAGGAGGATGAACAGTGTGAGCTCAGCCTGGGCAACTTAGCAAGCTAGTGAGGCCCTGTTTGAAAAAAAGGCTGGGGCTGTAGTTCCATGTAAAGACCCAGGGGTTCAATCCCAGGAACCAACACCAGTTCTGCAGTTCGGAGAGCTGCCACCACATGCTGCTGGTGGTGAGTGCCGCCCTGCCTTTCCCTCTGCCCCCAGCAGGATCCCAGTGTTTAGACTTTGACACTGGCTCACTCCAGGTACGTTTTCTCACTCTCCTACCATCCATTCTGGCCACTCTAGTCCCCGGCCTTCAAAAGATGTCTGTCCTTTTCTACAAGGTGCTGTAGGGAAACCGGACCCTTACCTTAGGCCCCATGCAATAATTAACTTGAAATGCATCAAACACCGAAACATAAGAACTGCATGTGTGTGTGTTTGATAATAAAGTGATTAAAGAAAGAAAAAGAGCCGTGTCCACAAAACTTTTAGAAGGAAAACATGGGGAAAGCTTCATGAAATTTGGTTTAGGATTTGGCAATGATTGTTTAGATACGACATCCAAAGCAACAGCAATGAAGGAAAAATAAATTGGAATCCACCAAAATTAAAACTTATGTGCCTCAAAGGGCACAATCAACAGAGAAAGAGGGTATCCTTGGAACAAAATATTTGCAAGTCAGGGGTTAATAGCTAAAATGCATAAAGGAGTCCCACAACTGAACAACAACACAAACACAATATAAAAATGGGCAAAGGGCTTGATTAGATATTTCTCCAAAGAATAAGTAAATGCCATAAAGCACATGAACAGATGGCCCACATCAGTAACCATTAGGGGACACCGTGGAAACTCTACCACCTCACACCTGCTAGGGTGCGGCTATACAACCAAGCCAAGTAACCAGAAAATCGTTCATATCAGTGAGGATATGGAGAAAGTGGAACCCTCACGCACTGTTGGTGGCAAGGTAAGATGTTGTAGCCTCTAAGGCAGTTCATCAGAAGATGTAAAATAGAACCTTAACATCCAGCAACTCCACATCTGGGTGTATACGCCGACTCAGAGACGGCAGGCCCTCTCAGAGATGTTTGTGTGCTCATGTTCATAGCCTCGTTATGCACGATAGTGTATCCAAGAGTCCATCATTGAGGAATGGATAAAAATGGGATATGAACATGCAATATCATCAGCCATAAGAAAGAAAAAAATCCTGATACATGCTACAATACGAATGAGTATTAAGGGCATTTTGTAAGTGAAACTAGCCAGTCACAAAATGCCAAATGTATGATTCCCCTTTATGTGCGGTACCTGGAGTGACCTAAGTCGGGCTGGAGGGAAGAGAGGGAAAGGAGTCGTTGTTCACTGGTGCAGAGTTTCAGTTCTGTGAGATGGGCTGGAGCTGCGCAACTGTATTAATATACTTAATACTAAAAACCGTGCCATAAAAATGTTTAAGATGGTGAACGCTGTTATGTGTGTTTTAGTACAAGTTACCAAGATGAGATGGCTATGCTATTCAGCTGATGACTTTTAGAATTTGATCCAAAAGGAGAAAAATGCAAGGCTTCGTGGGATTGGTTAAATTTTATAAAGTACTTAAAGTCACTTTAATTAGTGTGTAGTTAATTCATGACCAGTTTGATAAATTCAGTGTAGAGCTAAGAATCTGCTAAGGACAGCCCCTAAGTTAACAGAGTTTGCAGAGGTGTTTAGGAAAAATGTCTTAAGGCGCTTTTAAGTCTTACACTCAACACAGTAAGTCCTCGACTTAGGAACGACTTTGGTTCCAGGAAATTGTAAGTCGGATTCATTGGAAAGCTGGCAGAGCCTTACGCAGTATATCTGTGAAAGCTCGAAACTCAAATGTGGGTGAGTCAGAGACTTACTGTCCACCCATGGTTGTGTACAAGCGAGACCTAGGGTTTGTGGTCGCTGTGGTGTGGGTCTTCATGGTTTGAAGGTGGTGGAACCTTCAGGAGGTGGAGCCTAGTACAAAGAAGTGAGCTCACTAGGGGTGTGGCCCTGAGGGGATACTGGGACCCTCCCCTTCCTGCTTCCTGGTCACCAGGAGGTGGACAGCTTTATTCTAACTCTCTCCAACAGGAAATGCTGCTTACCCAGCACAAGGGGGCCGGCCCTCCATGGACCGAACCCTCCCAAACCGTGGTCCAGATCAGTCTTTCTCCACAGAAGTTGAGAATCGCAGGTATTTTTTCACAGCAACAGAAAGCATACTAAAACAATGGTAATAAAATTCTTTTCTGTTATAAAATTAATTTATGCTCAAAAAAAGGGAAAATTAAAAACAATGCAAGCCCTACCATTCAAATTCAACCTTATTTCTTTTCCAGTCATATCTATTTTTCCATGTATAAATTCAAAAGATGTATAGTCATGATCATAACCCATAGGAATAGTAACTATTATTTCAAAAGGTTGCATATACATCACAAGGAAGAGTAAGATTTTACTGAATTGCTGCTTATCTGCTTTTGGAAAATCATGGGTTTCCAAAATGCTTTTCCCCATTATGGTGGTTTTTTTTACATTATGGTATATTTTCCCTATTATGGTATAAATTATTTTTCTCATAAAGTCTTTATTTTTGGATAGTTGTACACAAAATTTAAGTCTTTGCTCATAAAAGATATTTATAGCACTACTCACAATAGTCCAAATACAGAAACAATGCAAGTGTCCAACAATTGATGAATGGCGCCCACGGTATATAAACACAATGGAACATTACTAAGCCTTAAAAAAGGACATCCTGCCATTCTATGAGAGCACAGGTAAATCTGGAGGACGAGTTAGGGCAGGCCAAATAACCCTGGCACAGACAAACACCACATGGTCTCGCTTATATGTCGGATCTGAAAAAGTTCAATTCATAGAAGCAGAGCATACACTCCTCGAGCTGCTTTTTTAGTGTACCACTCACTCTGCCAAACCTTTTGATCTAGAGTTGCCAGATTTTCAACAGCCAGTCAAATCTGATTTGCAGAGAGCAGACTGCCGGGTGGAATTTGCATTTCAGATAAACAGTGGGAACTTTCTTTTTCAGCGTCTGTCCTGGATGTGGCAAGGCCCATGCCTCTGGGCTGGGCGCCCCACATCCAGGGCTGACTGGGGATCTCTTGTGTGTGCGCGCCCGGCGCTCCTCCCCGCCTGTTGGCTGGCGCCTGCCAGTGCAGCGGGCCTGTGGCGGGGTGGGCGGTGGAGGACGAGCTAGAAGGTCGGCCCAGCCGCAGGGTTCAACCCGGCCTCGCAGAGGGCGATCGCCATCGCGGGAGAAGATCGACCCAGCCTGGGCCTCTGGAGCCGCGTCCTCGCTCCAGGGCCCCCAGCGCTGGGCTCCCGGCCGCGCGGCTGCAGCTCCGCCGCCTTCCCGTACCGGCGCCCGCCCGGGCCCCGGACGCGGCGCTCAGGTGACGCTGCCGCCTCTGGGCGCGGTGGACGCGTGCGGGCGGGCGGGGGCTGGGCCGGGACTCAGGCGGGAGGGAGGGGGCGGGGCCGCCCGGTTCGGGTCGCGCCACCCGCCGCGGCCTAGCGCCTGCTCCCGGCGCCAGCCCCAGAGCTGCCGGTCTCCGGCCGGCCGGGTTGGCGACGCCCGGGCTCCCGCGAGGGCCTGCGGCGTGGGCTGGGCCTGGCGCTCGCGCTTCCGCCGTGCGGGGGCGGGGGGAGGGGGGCGCCGACCCGGCTCTGCTGCCCGCGGGGGTCCCGGGCCAGCTGGAGCTTGCAGAGCGGCGCCCTGCCCAGGCCGCGGTCCTTGCTCGGGGACGAAGGCTTCTGACCGGGCCCCATGGCGCTCCATGGCCTGCGTGCTCTGCAACACGCTGGAGGGCATCCCTGCCTGGCCCGTGCGGGCGCGTGTCTCGTGTGGGCGTGTCCCGCGCGGGCCTGTCCCGCGCGCAGCACTGCCCCGCGCCTGTAAATTGCCCTGCGTGGCGTGTCCTCTGACTGCTGTCAGGCAAGCCCCCAAGCCTTCCCCGCAGCCCGACACCTTCGGAGGACTCCGGGTTGGGTTCTCTGCTCAGCAGCCAGGTCGGAGGCTGGGAGCTGAGGTGAGGAAGGAACTCCCCACCTAATCAGCGGAGTTTTCAGGACCTGAGGTCATAGGCAGATTTGAGAGCCCTGGGAGCTCAGAGCAGTGAGGCCTGCTGCCTGCAGCCTATAGCAGGGGACCTGGGTGCTTCTCCGGAAGGAGACCGGGAAAGGGGCACAGCCCCTGGAAGGGACCAGCCCGTTCCACAGGGACTGGCAGGGTGTGTGTGTATTGTTTTAGAAAGGGTAATTTAAGCATTCTTCGGATTCTCTCCACCTCCTCCGTTATTTAGGGTCAGGTTCCTGCTCTCTTTCCTTTCCCAGTCCAGGCAGTGTGGGGACTTACGGGTACTCCTGAGACATTCTGGGAGTGGTGGCTCTGGCGGGAGGGCACCTCCATGTAAGAGAGGTGCTCTTAGGGCCCCTCAGTGACTTCCGCTGGGTCCTGGAAGTTGCTGTCTTCTTCAAAGGACAGTTTGTAGCTATAATTTACTTCTCTTCTTTCTACCTGTCTTATTTTTTCTATCCTACCTCACTATGAGCAATTTTGTGACCATTCAGATCGGCAGGTTTTTCCAATAAAAAGTCTTAAGATACGAGAAGTAGAAAATCTGAATAGTCCTGTATCTATTACAGAAATTGATTGTAGTTACAAACCTTTTCATAACAAAATTTCCAGGCCCAGACGGCTTCACTGGTGAAAATATCCAAACAGTAAAAAAAAAAAAAAAAAATAGAGGGACCACCGCTTGGTTGCTTTTATGAAAACGATGCAAAAGTCTTAGGACAATTCATTTTTAGGTCAAACCTGGCAGTATATAAAAGGATAAGAAATCATGACCAACTTGGATTTATCCCAGTGATGTAAGCTCTGTCTAACATTAGAAAACTGATAAATGGAATTGAACCCTGTATACAGAGTAAAGGAAAAAATACTCAATAAAACTCAACACTGATTCATGATAAAACTCCTTTGCAAGCTGAAACACTGAAATTAAAGAATATTTCATGAACAGAGGGTATGCTGTTGCTCTATAGAATCCGTGCAATCACAATCAAAATCCAGGAGATTTTTTTTTTTCAAAAATACAAATTGATCAACTGATTGTAAAATTTATTTTGAAATTCTAGATAATCAGGGAACAGATTTGGAGGCCTGAAGCTACTAGATCCGTATGTAGTTAGACTGTGTATTGCTTAAGGGTAGACTGCACAGGAAATACGTAAGCAAGCTTGTGCAGATGCGGTCTTATCTAACCCAGTACCAGAGATTGAACCCAGGATTGGACATTATTATTGCCTAGACTCCCTTCTCCTTTCTTGTTATTTTTTTAAGATTCCACATGTTAGGGAGAACATGCAATATTTTGCCTTCTGAGTCTGACTCATTTTAATCAATGTGATGATATCCAGGTCTATTTCCCTGCAAATGACAAAATTTCCTTCTTCTCCGTGGATGAATATATCTATATATCCTTTATATGTGTGTTTTCTTTTTCTGTCCATTGGTTGATGAGCACCTAGGCTTTTTCTTGGCTATTACAGATTGTGCCACAATAAACCTGAGTATGTAGCTGCCCCTCTAGTATACTGACTTTAATTCCTCAGGGTATTCTCCAAGAGGTGGTGGCTGGATCAAATGGTAGCTCTGTTTGTAGTTTGGAAATCTGTTTTGCAGTAGCACTTACCAACGTTGGGCATACACATCTCCTAGGACCCAGCTGCTCCATTTCTAGCCCCTCAACAGTGAGGTGTCTGCATGGGTGCCCAAAGACTTGTAGAAGACTCTTCTAGCAACGTGACTCCTAACAGCCCTAGCTAAAAACAACTCCCCTGTCATCAATAGTGGGATGGATAGATGCATCTGCAGATTGTTTGCACAGCGGAATCGTCTATGGTGACGCGGTGAACAAGTTATTGCCTCGCAAAGCAGTGTCGGTGAGTCTCACAAACAGCTGAGCAGACTAAAACTTTGGGGACAGGAGTCGGGCCACTGGTCCCTTCTGATGGACTTAGTGGCTAGGAAAGGACATGAGGGACCCCAGACATTCAGGTTCAAGGCAATTGCCTTGCTGTGTCCACTTCTTGAAAGCCTTACACTTTTTTCTTAAATGTATTTTAATAAAAAGTTTACTTAAAATGTTGTAAAAATAGTTTTGGTTCATTCAGATGCCCTTAATCTGTGAAGTGTAAAACATGCCGGGTATGATCTTGGTGATTAAAAGAGGTTCAATAGCTCGAACATTTTCAGGAGAAAAAAACACATTATCAGATCAGTAGCTTTGTTGAATTAGCGGCTTATGGATTCGACTCCTACAGTTCATATAAAAAGGCTTAGAGTTGTGTTTGATTATAAGATTGATATCAGTGTGATGGGAAAAGCCAAAAATGACTAAGGAATGAGTATGGAGTACAAAATTTTGTTTTCAAATAATATTTTTCCAGTTACATTGAAAAAAATTGGTAACGATTGGATTCCAAAGCAGTCTGTTTTATATAGATCCCTTTAGTTACTTTCCTCCCAAGAGCCAGGAGCTGAGACTGCAGGGCCGACCTGTGAGGTTCCTGTCCTATCTGCCAGGTTACCTCGAATGTAGTGGCCGTGTCAACAAAGACTGACTCTCCGTTTCTGTGTGGATCCGTAGGTCCGCTGCAGAACTCCACTCTGGAGGAGCCAGGGAGAGTCTTCTTGTGCTGGCCTTCTCCGCCTTCCTTGTGATGCTTCTCCTATTCCTTCGCTTCTGGCTCCTTCCTCCATCTCCAGAGTTCTTTGCCTGTCTCTGACCCTCCTGCCTCCCTCCTGGGAGGAACCTTGTGATTACCCTGGCCCCACCTGGCACTTCCGGGTACTGTTCCTGGGGAAAGATCTTCAATCACATGTGCAAAATCCTTTTTGGCCGGGAAGACAACATAGTTCCAGGTTCCAGGGATTAGGGTATGGGCATCTCTAGGGGAGCCCTCTTGGTGGAATCCTGCAAATAAACTCTTTGTATTTCATTTGCAAGTAGCGCAGTTTCTCTTCAGTGGGAGTTCTTTGATAAATGTTGGGTGAAGAAATGTGCCTAAGCTCTCTGGTTCCTTGGCTGCCAAGGTGCCCATGAAGAAGCTTGTGGTGAAGGGGTCAGAAAAAAGAAGCAGGCCCTGAAGTTCACCCTTCACTACACAGGTCCTGTACAAGACAGGTAATGGATGCTGCCGACTTTGAGCAGTTTCTCCAGAGAGAATCAAAGTGAATGGCAAAGCCAGGAATCTCGATGGAGGGGTGGTCACCATCGAAAGTAACAACAGCAAGATCTCAGTGACTTCCTGCTTTTTCCTTAAAGTATTTGAAATATCTTACCAAAAAGTATATGAAGGAGAATAGGATAATCTACATGATTGGCTGCACATAGGTGCTACCCACAAAGTTACAAATGACATTACTTCCAGATTAACCAGGATGAAGAACAGGAGGAAGATGAATATTAAAACTTTTTTGTCGTAAATAATTTTTATGAGTTCTTGAGTAAACCTTGGGAACCAAACCCAAAACACACAAAAAAACCCGAGTCTAAGAGTTCATTAGTGGGAGTATACAGTTTCTGAAAGAGAAGTAATAGCCTTGCCCTACCCTCATTCTCTGATGCATCTGGAGCTTTGGGCTCGTTTCTGGGCTCTTACACCCAAAGAGACAAGTAGCATATCGTACATTAAAGAGACAACAGGATGACGGATGGTCAGAGGTCTGGAGCCAAGCTACTGAGGAAATAACTGGAGGAGTCATGGACGTTCATTCTACAAGGCGCCTTGGGCGAGTGGACAGAATTAATTATCTTTAAATATTTGAAGGATTATTGTTGGAAAGAAGAATACAGCCTTTCAGTGTACTTAAACATAGCAATACCATTATATGCAGCAATAAGCATTTCAGTGCTTTCTATGCCCAACTACTGTTCTCTCAGTTCATAAACCCATTTAATCCTCACAGCAACCCTCTGAAGGTTATCCCCACTTAACATGTAAGGAAATCGAGGCACAGAGTGGCTATGCACTTGTCTTGGCCTTCCGGAAGGAGAGTGGAGACTCTGGGATGCAAACTTGGACATTCTGACTCTGGAGCTGCCTTCTGATGTGGGTCACATTATCTGGCCTCCCTGTTCTCAGTTCCAGGAAGTGTAATAGGACGAGTGACAGAAAAGTTTTTAAAAATAGAGGGGCAGATTTGGACTGTGTTTAAGGAATAAACATGATGACGACCATTACTGCATAGGAGCAGTTTCTCCGCCTCGTGAAGGTGCTGGACATGGCCAGTAGGTCACTGTAAGAGCAATTCCCAAGCCGGACAGAGGTCAACCAGATGGCAGTAAGGTGCTCCCTGGTTTTGAAGCTCTGTTTTGGGAACATAAATTTTGTAATTATATTTATAATTATAGATACATATATTCATATATATTTTAAATGTACGTGTATATGTATGAGTGAATGTTCATGTATGTTTTAAATATACATCACGATGTGTATAAACATACATTTATTCATACTTCAATGTATATGAACATTTTTAAATGTGTATTTTAATTGTGTACAAAATTGCACATAGACAGTTGTCAGTGACAGGGATACACTCAGAGAAATGCGTCATATAGGCGAGTTTTGTCACAGTGTGAACTTCATGGGGTGCAGTTACGCGAACAAAGATGGCTGCAATTTCACCAGGCCATCTGATCTTACGGGACCTCCTTCATATGTACGTCCGTGTTGACTGAAACGCTGTTACACAGCAGGTGACTGGGTATGTGTGTGTGTCGGGGACAACTGTTGTGACATTTCGTACACTAAGGAGCCATTTGGGCTGGGTGTAGTTCAGTGACAGCTCATGCTCAGCATGTGTGAGGCCCTAGGCTTTACCCCATGACCAGGAGAGGAAAAAGATCCATTGAGCAATGCAATTTCCCAGCTAATTCTGGATTTGCCTTATCAGTAACTGTTGGGCATGCACTTGATGACACAGATTGCCCAGCTGCCTGCTGGTGCTGTTACTGCCCCTCCCATGACGAGATGCCCTCCCTTTGACTCTGGCTGGGCTTTGGTTTGCACTGGCTAGTGAAGCCTGGCCCTTAGGTTCTTTGTGCCCCTTGGCTGCATGCTGTGCACCCCAAGCCCAGTCCCTCTTGCTGGAGGGTGCACCCCTCACGGGGCCCTGTAGCCCCGAACGCCAGCTGTGAGCCCCTCCTGCCCTGTCGGCTGTGGGTTCACTCTGGTCTCATGCGTGACCTCAGTGGTGACATCAGCAGAGCAGCCCTGATTGCCCGTACACAGCATCTTGAGGGGAGAGGTCTCCGTTGTTTGCAGCCACCACCTGTTGGCACCAGTTATTAAGCAGTGGCGCATAACTGACCCACGATTCCCTGCAGATTTGGGAGCAGTGCGTATGTATTATGCGACACTCTGTAATCCGACTTTGGGCCCAGTCTGCAGATTCTTCCACGCCATCTCCTGCTGCCCTGTGCGGTGTGATGCGGTGTAAGAGCGTGGCTGTCTTGAAGCACTTGGAGGAAACTGATACAGGAGGGCACCGTGAGGGGCCAGCTGGGTTTTCCTGGGCGGATCTTGTAATTTGTATTCTGTAGAATGGGCTTCTGTCCCGTGAAAGGGGGACCTGGGGAAGAGTGCAAATCTCAAAGCTGCCACCGTTGCAGTGGGCCTGAGCTCCTTAGGCTTTTACTGTGGTGTTGTCCGGAGGGCCTGTTTATCCCTCCATTAATGATTCCAGTTTGCCTCAGCCCTTGTCTCTTTGCGCCTGCTGCTTCCCCTTTATAAACGAGGTAAGTGGGTTTGGTTCAGTTTCCCTTCTTCAGTACATCTTTTAAGGAATATGCAAGAGCTAGATATTTCATGTGTATTTTGAGTACATTTAGTTTGTCAGGTTTTCTTCAGGAGTATCTAAAAGTGTAACTTTTGAAACTCACTTACATCCAGATAGCTTACATTCCCTGCTAGCCTTTTGATTGATTTCATTTTAGATTTTGAAAAAAATGAACCCAGGCACTGCGAGGGCAGTGTGGTGGCTGAGGAAGGGCTGTGGAGCTAACCTTTGTGGGAGAGGCTGAGTTCCACTGCCAGCCAGCCACTGGCTTGGGGCAGATCTCTTAGCCTCTCTGGCCCTCATTTTCCTCTGGTGTTAAATGACGACCACAGAAGTACCACCCTTGAGGGGTTGTTGCAATGACTGAAGGACATAGTCCTTGTCAAGTGCTTTTTCAGCTTGGGTGACCTATAAGAAAAGTACAAGAAAGCTCGGTAGAGGAAAACGTATGTTTGGGAGCCTGGGCCTTTAGTTGGCAGAAGTGGTGATGGCGATGCTATTCTGAAGGGTGCTGGCTTCAGGATGGGAACTGCGGCTTTGAGGGTCCTCTGCTACCCATGTGGTGCTGTATCAAGACTTGGGAGCAGACAATTTAAAATGGAAGTGTTGTAATCCATTTGTTGGATGAATGAGAAATAAAGGAATCTTGAAATGATGCTGGAAATTTCTGGGAGAGAGCATCTCACAGCAGTTGTGTTTCTGTGCATTTCAGGTCTGGCATAGTGTGCTATTCTACTCTCCCTAAATAAAGGAACAGAATTTCTGCCCGTGAGAGAGTGGGAGCTGGGACTGTTGGTCCTAAGTTTTTGGCCCATGGCTGGCTTTTCTGTGTCCTTGGGAAGATCCTTTCTTCTCCCTGAGCAGGACTGCGATTTCTGAACAGAAGCTAAAGTTAGCTGTCTTGTGAGGATCTGAGAGATGGCTAGCAGTTTTGAAAGCACATGAAGTGATAAATTGCAAAGTAAATGGTATAGAAAAAGCTGTTAGCTGAGTTCCTGTCATTTTATGGCTAAGATTTTACTCTGGGCCTCTTGAGTTCTGATTCCCACGTAGATATTCCTTGAAGTAACCAACCTCGGGGCTCTTACACCCCAGAGATTGAGAAAGATCTTCTGACCTCCGTCTGACTTTCTTTTCTCTCAAGCCGGGGAAACTTCTGCTACGAGTTCCTACCACAGCTGATATTAAATGTCTTGAATTTTGTAGTCTTGTCAACGGCATTTAGCTTTGAGACCCATGGTCTTCCAACCACCTGACTCCTAGACCCATTTGATGCCAGGTACAGCTTAATGTCCCCTCATCTCCGCCTGGGTTCCAGCACTTCCTCTCCACTTCCACAAGGCCCTGCTTCTAGGCTACCGCAGGACCAAGGGCTTCTTTGGGAAGCTCCCCTCGAGTGAGTACATGTCCAGTGGTCTCCCTTGTCTGAGGTGACACTTACCTGTGCTCAGCCATGTTTTGAAAACACTAAATGGAAAAGTCCAGCAATGAACATTTCATAGGCTGAGCCCTGCACTCTGCTGAGTTCAGGATGCAATCCTTTGCTGCCAAGCTCTGTCCTACCTGCTCCCATGCATCTGTCTGCGCTGCCCCCATCCAGCAGGCACTTAGCGCCGGCCCCCTTATTTGACTGACTGTCCCAGGGCCACAGTGCTTATGTGTAGCCCTTATTTTACTTCACAAGAGCCCTAACGTGCAGCAGTGATCTCGGCAATTCAGATATGACAAAGAGGAGCCACAGAAAGCTTTCTTCAACTGAAAAGTTGAAAATTCTTACTTAGGAGAGAAAAGGAATCATATGCTGAGCTTGCTAAGGTCTGCGGTAGGAGCACATCTTCCAGCTTTAAGCACGATGCCTTCTACCAAAGAACATGCTTGTTTAGGGGATGAGAAATAGAAACGTGGGCATTTTTTGAGAGTTCTTGGGAAACTTTAAGGCTTGGACATTTAAAAACTGTAGTATACTTCTCCGTATGTAGCATCCCCATTCCCTGGCACTGTGGAGTACTTGCTTTTGTGTCCTGGCTCAGTTGTTTCTGCTGGTGACTTCTTCACACCTGTCGCCTATGCCCACTTCCCTCGCTCTCCTGATTTCCCGGCCCCACCTGGCTGCTGTGAAACAAAGTGGGAAACCATGTGAATGCTGGGGTTTGGCATTACTGTCGTACATCAGAAGTGCTTGCACAGGGCTTACGATTTTGCTCTTATTTATTTTGCTACCACCACAGCATGTATTTAAGTGAAGCAATGCGATCCGTAAGAGGACATGAGTTAACTCTGTTACTGGGAAATATTTGAGATCACTTAATTTGCAGAATTTTAGGACCCAGCTTTTCATACCATTTTTGCTGATACTTAGGACATAGATGTGGTGGCCTTGACAGAGAGATCTGCACTGGTGCAGGTGTGAACAACCCAGAAGTGCATTTCTCTTTCTGGAGACAGCCCGGGTGGACAGGTCCGGGGTGGTTCATGGAGTTAGGGACAGAGGTGCCTTCTACCTTGTTGTTCAAGGGACTTTCACTTCTTGGTCCAAAGTGCCTGCCCTGTCTCTGGTGATCAAGAAAGGAGGACCCCAGGTTCACGCCCCTGCACCCACTTCCCCTTGGCTAGAACTGCTCAAGGTCCTGCACTCAGCTGCTGTGGTGCTGTGCTCACTGACTGCGTGTCTCCATAAGAACTCAGGTACTGTGTAGGAGCAGCGACCGTTAGGGGAGGGCCCCTGAGCGGCGTCATGAGCTGCCCTTCAGGAAGCTCAGTGGCGTGGGTGGCAGGGTGGCTTTTATCAGCCCTTTGTGATTTAGGCTTGTGGGATGGCATTTGAAGAGAATGGGGAGGTTAGGGCTGTTAGCTTAGCAGAAGCTTGGAGGTCCCCTGTGCTTTGCTTTTCTTTCGGCTTTGGAAGCCATCTGCTGTTCACAGAGCACCTGGCATCCCTTCTTGCTGCATTCTGGGCACAACACTAGGTGCTGGCACTGCCAACACCTCAGGGCTGTGGAGGTTGAGGGTTCTCTTGCTCAGTTCAGACAGAAATTAGGAATCAGCAAAGTAGAGTTCTGCTGGAGGCTCTGGGCCTTGTGTTGCAGCTCTGGGATTCCCACTGCCTGTTGCCCTAGGTGCTTAGTGTGCCAGCTCCCCTGCCCTGGTCAGCTCTGAGCCTGTCAGCTGCTCTGGAGCTCCTCTTAGCAGCTTCTGCTGGTCTCCACCGACCCATCAGATGCCACATACCCCTGCCCTGTCACTGCATGCTGCTCCTGACACCAGTCAGGGTCATTTGGCACCACTGGTTACTGCCACTGCCTGGTGCTGCCATCCTCCAGCTCTGCGGAGTTCTGTGGCTTTGTGCTATAGGTTTCTGGAACTCTTTAGGGCCAGCAGCCCCTATTCTCTCTCTCTCTCCCCCCCCCCCTTTCTCTCTTCCTTTCTCTCTTCCTTTCTCTTTTCCTTTCTCTCTTTCTCTCTTTCTCTCTTTCTCTCTTTCCCTCTTTCCCTCTTTCCCTCTTTCCCTCTTTCCCTCTTTCCCTCCCTCCCTCTCCCCCTCTCCCTGTCTCTCTTGCTTTACTGGGGATAAAACCCAGGGCCTTGGCACTGAGCTACATCTCCAGCCTTTTAAAATTTATTTTGGGACAGGGTCTTTCTAAATCACTAAATTTCTCAGGCTGGGCTCAAGCTTGGCAATTCTCCTGCCTCAGCCTCCTGTAGTGCTGGGACTGTAGGCCTGTGCCATCACACCCAGCTATAGCTCCTTTTTTTAAAAAAGAGACTTGTCAATCCACACTCTCCAGGATAAGAATGTTGGTAGTTTTATAGGGCCTTCCAAGCCCACGCTACCGAAGAAATATGTGAGCAGATTTGCAGGGCCACCAGAGCGTGGGTTTACTGAGACAGGGCCTGCGCTGCAGCACAGTAGGATCAGTGCTAGCAGGACCCTCCTAGACCAAACCCAAACGTGTTTAACAGCAACGGGCTTTCTGTTTTCTTTTTCAAGCTTTCTGTGGCCAGGGCAGATGCAGTATCTGCCCTGAGCTGTGTGGACATCCAGGACAGCCCCTGGTGTGGCAGTCACTCAAAGCCTGGTGATTTCTGGGCTACCTCACTGAGTGGGGAATCATGGTCCCTGTCTCCAAAGTCCACCCTGCAGAGGGGACGGGACCATCATGGTGGAGGAGAGAACTCTAGGGTGTGCTGTGATGGAAGGCTGAACACTTGGAGAAGAGCTCACCACTCAGGAGTGTGCGTGCGTGTGTGTGCATGTGTGCGTGTGGTACGTTCGATGTGGGAGCCTGGGGCAGAGTCACAGGGCGGAGGCGGATTGACGGGTTGCGTCTATGTGGTCCAGGGCAGCAGTTCGTCCCTGGAGTGCCAACGACCTGGAGTGCAGGCTTTGTCTGTCTGGCCGAAGCTCATTCTTTGTCTCCGTGTCTCTTTCTAGAAACTCACCTCAGGCGCTGGGAATGCCGCACCAGGGCACCGTGCTGCCCCGGTGGGAACTGTTGCTCTACCTGCTTGCGTCACTGGGCTTCCACTCCTATTCTTTTTATGAAGTCTACAGAGTCTCCAGAGGTAAGCACCACACTTTCCTCCTCTGTCAAGCAGGAAGTGGGGCAGGAACAGGCACCCCGGAGCGGCGTCCGTACTAAATGGGGAAGAGCCGCCTGCCCTTTGCAAGTCCAGGTGCTGAAGCTAACCTGCTGGTGCGAGGTGGGGCCTGGCTGGGAGAGAGGTCCCCGGTGTCCCGGAAGGGTACAGCGCCCCTCGTCCTCCTGCCAAGCAGCTTCTTCCTGGGAGCTGCCTGACTCGGAGACTCGGACTGTGACTGAGTAGGAATAAACCTCTCCTCCTCCAGGGCAGGGCTGCGTGTTGAGCCTCGGCTAAGACACGGGGTGGAAGATTCACAGGTCGGGATGACTGGGCCCCGCCTGCCGGCCCCCGACTTGAATTGTTTGAATCGATTCCGAGACCATGAAATTTCCGGTCTCACTGTGAGCCCTTCAGGTGGTTCTGTGGTTCATCTCCTGCAATGGCTTCTGCTGCTGCCTCTGTGTGTGCAGGCATGTGTGTGTGCATGTGTCGCATGTGCGTGTGTGTTCAGGCTCAGGGCCTCTCCGTGCTGAGCATGTTGTCCTCTACCACCAAGCCACACATCCGCCTTTCCTGGAATAGAAGGGTTTGATTCAGTAGCTCCTGCAGGTCCCAGAGGGAATTTGTAGTCAGAATTAAAAGTAAACTTAAATCTCTCTTTCACCACCGTTATTTTCACACATATCTCAGAAGTCTGGTGTCAGTTTGAAGGTGTGGAGACATAGAGTCTTTTACTGTCATCCTTACCACCCTTTGAGGGGTCTGGGCCTCACTGTGTTGCCCAGGCTGGCCACAAACCCTCGCCAGCTGTGACGTTTCACACCCAATCCCAGCTACTTAGGAGGCTGACCCAGGAAGATCACAAGCTTGATCACCTGGGCAACTCAGTGATACCTGGTCTTGCAGTAAAATTGGAAGGGCTGAGGATGTAGCTCAGTGGGAGAGTACCCCTGGGTTTCATCTGCAGTACTGCAGAAAACCAAAACCAAAAGCAAAACACAGCACTCCAGAATCCTGGGCTGAAGTAATCCTCCTGCCTCAGTATTCCAAATAGTGGAAACTACAGGTACATGTGAGCGTGTGCTGCTTCTTTTGTCTCCTGTTTTGCCATCTTGGTGTGTTGCCGTGTCTGGGGTGTGGCTGAATTATTCCCAAGACATGACTGGCCCATGGTCAGGCACTGGGAACTCTCCTTCTGAGGGCAGTTTGGGAGAGCGCCTGCCACTCCTGCTCATGCCATTGGCCAGCATCGAGTCACATGGACCCAGCTGGGAGTCTGGGAAACGCAGTCTTTAGCTTACCTCGAATCCCTGGTACATGAGCGGACTCTGCAGCCCTGAAGGACAGTTTCCTAGAGAGGATGGTGATGCTGAGCCTGCTGAAAGATGAGCAGGAGCCAGCCGACTAGAGAAGGGTGCTGAGGAGCCAAGGAAGAGGTAGGCCCACAGATGCATGGGCAAGCTTGTGCCGTGCTGCTGGGGCGAGGGAAAGTGTAGCGTGGGCCAGGAGCTGCAGACCACGGGACAGGACTGGAATGCAGTGGACGATGGGCGAGGGAAGAGTTGGGTGCAGGTCAGCGGCAGGTGTGGATTGTGACGACTCTGCATGTTTCACTGCCGAGTTTAGACCTCATCCCAGAGACAGGGAGTGTGTCAGAATCAGCGATGCTCATTCAAAATGGCAGAGGTGGGGGCTGAGCGCATAGCTCAGGGTAGAGCATGTGCTTAGTATGCTTCAGGCCCTGGGTTCAATCCTCGGTGCCGAAATGAAATGAAATGAAACGAAATGAAATGCAATGCAAGCAGGTTTTGGGAAGCACCACTGGGAGGCCCTGCCTGAAGGTAACAGTGCCTTATGGCTCTGGGGCTGATTTGGATACGGGTCTTCAGGGCTGGTTTTTCTCTCCATTCTGCACTTGATCTTTAGCACAGCTCGCTGAGAGGCTCGGCAGCAGAGCAGAGCGTGAAGAGCTCTGTGGTCCGCGGCCGGCATGGTGTCTAGATAGCTCCCCTGGCTCCTTCCCTGGGTTCCCGTGAGGCCCTTAGCATGTGCTTCCGCCTCCCGCCGGCTGTCATGTCCGCTGCCTGTGTGGTGTACAGGACAGAAGGGGAGGAGGGGAGAAGACAGCCCTCTTCTTGTCCAGCGTGATCTGAAAGTTGCTTAGATTATATCCACTCGTGTCCGAGTGTTGGAGCTCAGTCCTGTGGCCGCGTTGGCCAAGAGGAAGCCATGTATCCAGCCCAAACCCAAGGGCTCTACTATAGAGGAAGATAGGAGCAGGGACTGTCTCTTCCACAGACAGCGTCTTAGCTGTCTATTGCTCTAAAGTTTTGTGACTTAAAACCGCCCCCACCATTTGTGATCGCTCACTGTTCTGTGAGGCTTTTGTCTTTTGAATAGGCTTTACTTCGGGAAGCAGTTTCAGGTTCGCACCAGAACTGAGCAGAGACCACTGGGAGCTCCCACTCGCCGTGCCCTCACCTGGCACCACAGCAGCGCACGTGTGAGGGCGTGTGGGCGCCAACACATCACTGGCACTGGAAGTCCGCCGTTTACGGGAGGGTGCAGTCTTGGTGGGTGCAGATGGTGGGTTTGAGAAATGCATGATGACTCGCTCAGCATTAGAGTATCGTGTAGAGGAGCTTACTCCCCTAAAACTCCTCTGTAGTCTACCTGTTGGCCCCTTCCCCCGAGTCCCTCCTAGGCACGGATCTATTTACTGTCTCCATAGTTTGCCTTCTCTAGAATGTCAGGTAATTGGAATCGCATAGCATGCGGCCTTTCTAACAGGGCCTCTTTCTCTTAGTAATATGCGATGGAGTCTTCTCAGTGTCTCCTCATGGCTCGCCAGCTCATTGCTCTTTAGCACTGAATAATATCCCACTGTCTGCTACAGCTCACCCATTTGCCTGTAGAAGGACTTCTCAATTGCTTCCAAGTTTGGAATTACAAATAAAGCCGCTATAGACGTCTGTGTATGGAGTTTTGTGTGGACATGAGTTTTCAGCTCATTTGGGTAAATACCAAGGGATCTAATTGCTAGCTTATATGGTAAGAATGGATTCATTTTTGTGAGAAACTGCCAAACTGTTGTCTGATGGAGGGGCTGTACCATTTGGCATCCCCACCGGCAGAGAAGGGGCATTTGTGTCACTTCACATCCCTGCCAGCTGTTGGTGCTCTCAGAGTCCTGGGTGTTGGCCATCCTCATAGGTGTGCAGTGGTATCTTCTAGTTTTCCCACAGTGAAAATCTTAACAGGTAGTGAGCGCTATTCTTCTGACTTTGTTTTTTGTCAATATTGTGTTGGCTGTTCTAGGTCCTTTCCCTCTCTGTAAGAACTTTCCAGTCACTTTGTTAATGTCCACAAAATAATTTGATGGGATTTTGACCCGGATCACATTGAATCTGTAGATTAAATTGGGGAGAACTGACACCTCGACAATACCGAGTCTTCTGAATATTCAGTGTTCAGTGAAAACATGCAATACCTCTCTATTTAGTTCTTCTGTGATTGTTTCTGAGAGTTTTTTAGTTTTCTTCATATTAGTCTTGTATATATTTGGTTAGATTTATACCTAAGTATCTTGTGTTTTGGACTAATGATGTAAATGGTATTATCCTTTTAATTTCAACTTCCATTTATTCATTGCTGGTATATAGAAAATCAAGTCATTTTGTATATTAATCTTCCATCCTATAATCTTGCTTTATAATTGCTGATTAGTTCTAGGTGACTTTTGGTGATTCTTTCAGGTATCCTACATATATGACCCTGCCTTGTGTATACAAAGTCTCAGTCTGTGTCTCTGTCTGTCTGTCTGTGTGTCTGTCTCTCTCTGTAGGGTCTCACGTTGTAGTCCAGGCTGGCTTTGAACTGTTAGCAATCCTCTTGCCTCTGCCTCTTGAGTGCTGGGATTACAGACATATGCCACCAGGCCTGGCAAAGACAGTTTTATTTCTTCATTCTCAGTCTGTGTGCCTGTGTTTCCTTTTTTCTTTTTCTTTCTTTCTTTTTTTTTTTTACTCTTAATTTTGTTTTATTGCATTAACTATGACTGCTGGTATAATATTGAAAAGAAGTTGTAAGGGGGTTACCCATGCTTTATCCCTGACTGCTGTGAAAGCTTCTAGTTTCCCACTATTTAAATCTGTTAGCTAGAGGTTTTTGTTTGTTTGTTTTACAAATACTTTCTATCCAGTTAAGGATGGTCTCTCAATTCCTATATGTTTTGCGTGTTTTTTGCATGAAGAGTGTACTAGGAAGGATTCTCTGGGAAACAGAGTCATATATACATACAAGTGTAGTATGAAAAGAGATTCATCATGAGGAGTTGGCTCATGCAGTTATGGAGGCTGGGAGGGGCCCACAATCCGCTGTCTTGGAGCCAGACACTGTGGACACCCAGTGATGTAGTGGAGTCCAAGTCTGTAGCTGAGAACCGGCAGCCAATGGCATAAATCCCAGTCTGAGGGCAGGAGAAGATGAGGTGAGATGCCCAGCTCATGCAGTAAGGCAGAAAAGGGAGCGATTTCTTTCTTCTCCCACTTTTGGTTCTATTGAGGCCCTCAAAGGATTGGATGTGCCCTTCCCCCCACATCAAGGGGTGATCTACTCTGCTCCTGCTGCTGATTGAAATGCTAGTCTCGTCCAGAGATGCCCTCACACACACGCCTGGAAATGAGGCTACCCTGGGCACCTGTGTCCAGTCGAACTGATATGTAAAGTAAGCATCACAGCATGCAGGGTTTTGCCAAATGCTTGTTCTGCATCTGTTGATGGATTTTTGTTATTTAGCTTGTCAATATGATGGATTGCACTATTGACTTTGTGTTCTGCAAGACTTTGTTTTTAGTGTACCCGAAACAGTGGACTCAGCTGCAGCTCTCTGTTTTCACGCTGCAGTCAGGTAGAGCCGCTGTCATCGGGCGGTTCGGCCGAGCTCAAGCGTCGAGGTGGTTCCCTCACATGGCTGGCACGCG